CTCACACTCTTGAGTGAGCTCTTAACCAACTGAGCCACTTGGTCAGTACCTAGCAGAGTAATTTTGACCTCATAGAATAAGTTGGGAAGTGTGTCCTTTATTTTCTGGAAGAGTTTTTGAGGGATTAGTGACGTTGCTTCTGTAAATATTTTCTAGAATTCCTTAGTGAAGGCACCTGAGCCTGGAATTTTCTTGTAGAAAGATTTTCAATAAAAATTTAGTATAGTTCTATATAGATTTTCTACTTATGTCAGTTTTTGTTTTGTTTTCTTAAATTGAAATTTATTGTTTTTTATTTTATTTATTTATTGTTAATTTTTATTGAGTAACAGTGTTTTTTTCCCAGGACCCATCAGCTCCAAGTCAGGTCATGGTCCTTTCAATCTAGTTATGGAAGGCACAGCTCAGCTCCCAAGTCCAGTTGCCGTTTTCAATCTAGTTGCTGGGGGGGAGAGGGCACGCAGCCCACCATCCCATGCAGGAATCCTGCCAGTAACCTTGTTATTTAGAGCACATGTTCTTAACCAACTGAGTCATCTGGCCGCCCACCCGCAGCTCAGCTCAAGTTGTTGTCGTCAATCTAGTTGTGGAGGGCGCAGCTCACTGGCCCATATGGGAATCAAACCAGCAACATTGTTGTTCAGAGTACACGAGAGCTACCCGGCCGCCCCTACTTATGTCAGTTTTGATTTTGGTGTCTTTCTAGGAATTTGCCCATTTCAACTAAATTGTCTAATTTAGGAGGATAAAGATTGTTCATAATGTTTCCTGTCTTATCCTTGCTTTGGGGCTAGTTTGGTCTTTATTTTCCAGGTTTCATAACATGGAAGCTTTGGTAATTGACATCCTTCTTCTTTTGTAATAAGCTGTTTAAATCTATATATTTCCCTCTAATCATTTAATTTAGCTGGTCACATTCGTTTTTATAGGTAACATTTTTATTTTCATCTAGTTTAAAATATTTATGTTTTTACATTTTCCCTTATAATTTCTCCTTTTACCCATAGGATATTTGGTGGTGTGTGGTTTTGCCTAGGAACCTTGGTCTGTAACCAATTGGCTGTCTTTTGGGGACTGAGGCCTGAACACTGACTGAGTTTTAGAAGTTTGGGACTATTCAATGATGTGCTAATTTTCAGAAACTGAGTTACTGGGATGAGGCTGTTGTTGACTAAGCTGGCTTTCAGAGTTCATCCACAGTTATCTCTTATAAATCTTGGTTTCTTGTTTACGACTTTGGAATTTGGCCAAAGTACAGTCTTCCTTTCCTGAATGTGAAAAACAACCACTTGGTTGTTAGCCCCCTCTTTTGTTCTTCCTCAACCAAACCTATAGGAGAGACCATAAGGTATTGTCCAAAATCACAGGTGTGATTTTGAGCTGTGTTGCCATTGTTATTTAATTGCCAAATATAGCTCTAACTACTGACTTTTTGTAATGTATTGTAAAAAGCTAGATACAGGATCTTTAGGGCATCCTGNGAAGGACATCTTGGTTGCTTCCAAGTTTTGGCAATTATGAATAAACCCACAATAAATATTTTTGTGCAGGTTTTATGTGGGCATAAGTTTTCAACTTGTTTGGATTGAAGCCAAGGAATATGATTTGCTGGATCATATAGTAAATGTATGTTTTGTTTAGTTTTGTTAGAAACTGTCTTCCAAAGTGGCTGTACCATTTTGCATTCCCACTGACAATGAGCTTGTTCCTGTTGTTCCACATCCTTATCAGCATTTGGTTGTGTCAGTATTTTGGATTTTAGCTATTCAAATAGGTGTGTAGTGGTATGTCATTGTTGCTTTAATTTGCAATTCCCTAATGACATATGATGAGTATCTTTTCATATTTTAACAGTGTCTTTTGCAGAGCCCAAGTTTTTTATTTTAATCAAGTCTAAACTACCCAATTTTTATATCCTGGATTGTATTTTTCGTGTTGTATCTAAAGTCATTGCCAAATACAAGGTCACCTACGTTTTCTCCTGTTATTTTCTAAGTATTTTATAGTTTTGTGTTTTGCATTTAGGTCTGTTATCCTTTTTCAGAAAATATTTATGAAAGGTATAAGATCTGTGTCTATATCATTTTTTTAAATATGAGGATGTCTGATAGTTCCAGCACCATTTTTTGGAAAGTCTATCCTTTCTCCATTGAATTGCCTTTGTTCTTTTTTCAAAGATCACTTGACTGTATAGTTGTGGATCTATTTCTAGACTCTGTTCCAATTTTTTCCATTTATTGAGATAATCATTGTGTGGGTATGGGTTGATACTCAGATATTAAACTACCATATTTCCCCATGTATAAGACGCACCTTTTTTCGGAAAATTTGGGGTCTAAAAACTGGGTGTGTCTTATACAGTGGTTGTAGACTTTTTACTTGCATTTCCTGCTCTTTTCGAATTTTGCTTTTTTATGATGAATAAAACTTGAGTTCAATAACTTTATGTAATACATTTTTTTTCAAATTTGGGGCCCCCAAATTAAGGTGTGTCTTATACATGGGAGCGTCTTATACATGGGGAAATGTGGTAATCTTGTGTTTCCTGGAACAAATCCCACTTGGTCATGATTTATAATTCTTTGCATATGTTGCTGAATCAGTTTTCGGATACTTTGTTAATCTGTTTTGCATCTGCATTGATGAGGGATAATGGGTTTGTAGATTTCTTGTGATATCTTTGACTTTGCTATCAGAGTAATTTTCTTTCTTTTTTTTTTCTTTTTGCTGAGCCATCTGCCACCTGTTGGCAGCTCAGCAGCAGCTCAGCTCGGGCCGGGAATCGAACTGGNCTGTGCACACATCCTTCAGTCATCCTGAAGAACCAGCTACTTCCTTGCAATCAGATTTCCCTTGCCCTGGACATAGCCTTCGGCACAGAGCTCACCTGCCACCAGCAGCCAAGACCCTGCTGAAACTCTTTTGGAGAAGAGTGAGTTGGAGACCTCACCTCTGATTCCTATACCATACACCATCATTGTGTCTTTACCTGTCATTAGAGTCCCTCTGTTCTGTGGCCTTCAGAGGGCCAGGACTGATAGTGGGCCCTTTTTCACCCACATCCTGGCTCCTTCATCCTGCCCACAAGCCAATGGGCTCATTCCTTGGTGTGTCACACACATGTATGTGATGGGGCTGCTGCTTCCCACCAAAGTCAACCTGCACTTCACCAGCAGTTTTTTGCTTTCAGATTGCTGGCGTGGAGCAGACCATGAGGACGCCCCTTCTGAGCAGAGCATTTCTGTAAGAGTGTCACAAGTCAGGACTCTCAAGTCAGGTCCATTTATCCAGAAAGCCCACCCATGTGAGATGTGTGACCCACTCTTGAAAGACGTTTTGCATCTGGCTGAACACCAGGGGTTACACGCTGTGCAGAAACTGTACACATGTGACCCACGTGGGAGAGGATTATCGTTGGGTGCAAATTTTGACCAGCACCAGAAGCGATATAGTAGAGAGAACCCCTTCAGCAGCGATGAAGGTGGGGCCTCGTTTGTGAAGAGCTGTGTAGTCCACATGTTAGGGAGGCCCTGTACTTTCAGGGAGGAAGGGATCGACTTGCTGGACAGCTCTGGCCTCTTCCAGCACCAGCCCAGTCACTGTGGGATGAGTCCGTGCAAAAGGACAGAGTTCACAGAGTCCTTCCCACACAGCTCCAGCCTCGAGCGGCACCAGGGGGACCATGATGGACAGATGCTCTTCAATTGCAGTGAAGATGGGAAAGCCTGCCTGAACACCTTTACTCTTCTTGACAAACTGATAACTCATACTGAAGTGAGACCCATTAGATGCCTACCATGTGGAAATATGTCCAAGGAGAAATCGGCTCTTATTCATCACCGAAAAATTCATAATGGAGAAACTCCACATGTGTGTAAGGAGTGTGGAAAGGCCTTCATTCACCTGTCCCACCTGAAAATGCACCAGAAATTTCACACTGGGAAAAGACATTATACATGCAGCGAATGTGGCAAGGCCTTCAGCCGCAAAGACACACTTGTGCAGCACCAGAGAGTCCACACGGGAGAGAGGTCTTATGACTGCAGTGAGTGTGGGAAAGCCTATAGCAGAAGCTCCCACCTTGTCCAGCACCAGAGAATCCACACCGGCGAGAGGCCTTACAAGTGCGGTGAGTGTGGGAAGGCCTTCAGCCGTAAAGACACACTTGTGCAGCACCAGAGGTTTCACACTGGAGAGCGGCCATACGAGTGCAGCGAGTGTGGGAAATTCTTTAGCCAAAGCTCTCACCTGATTGAGCACTGGAGGATTCACACTGGGGCGAGGCCTTATGAATGCATTGAATGTGGAAAATTCTTTAGCCATAACTCCAGCCTCATTAAACATCGGAGAGTCCACACAGGAGCAAGGTCTTATGTGTGCAGCAAATGTGGAAAGGCTTTCAGCTGCAAAGACACACTTGTCCAGCACCAGATAATTCACACAGGAGCAAGGCCTTATGAATGCAGCGAGTGTGGGAAAGCTTTTAGCCGCAAGGACACACTTGTGCAGCACCAGAAAATCCACACAGGAGAGAGGCCTTACGAGTGTAGTGAGTGTGGAAAATTCTTTAGCCACAGCTCCAACCTTATTGTGCACCAGAGAATCCACACTGGAGCAAAGCCTTATGAGTGCAGTGAGTGTGGCAAATGCTTCAGCCACAACTCCAGCCTCATTCTACACCAGAGAGTTCACACCGGAGCAAGGCCTTACATGTGCAGTGAGTGTGGAAAAGCCTACATTAGTAGCTCCCACCTTGTTCAACACAAGAAAGTTCACACTGGAGCAAGACCTTATGAGTGCAGTGAATGTGGGAAATTCTTTAGCCGCAACTCCAGTCTCATTCTACATCAGAGGGTTCACACTGGAGAAAAGCCTTACGTGTGCAGCAAATGTGGGAAAGCCTACAGCAGGAGCTCCCATCTTGTTCGGCACCAGAAAGTTCACACTGGAGAAAGGCCTCAGGAATGCAACAGTTTTGGTGGTCCTTTAACTGCATCTCTTAAACTTGTTTAGTACCAGAAAGTTCACACTAGAGAAAGGCCGTGTGAATGCAGAAAATGTGCTGTGTCCTTGTTCCACCTCATAGGATCTACACTCGAGAAAAGCTCTGTGAGTACCTTTTGTGAGGGAGCCATCAGCCGGTACGTGAACCTTGTATATGCATGCATCCATCCTGGGGACATTCCCAATAAGTACCATGTAGATGGGAAACTTTCAGGAGGTACATTGTGCTTTCTAAAACTGTTCAGGGACCTTGACAGAATTACATCAATGCCAGTGCCTCTGGCAGAAGCCATCTCATTGCTGTCAGCTGTCAGGGTCCCCCAGTGTGTCAATCACTCCAGTATGCTCAGGGAAGGTGACCTTCCTGCACTCTCTTTCTTATTTCCTGGAGAGAATCATGAGTGTTCTGAGTTCATTGAAGGTCCTCATCTTCTCCCCCATGACTGGCCAAAAGGATCTGAGCTGGAGTGTGTTGGAGATTTCCAGATAAGATTTTTCTTCTTCATGGACAATGTTGACTGTAAACAGAGCCATGACTTATTTGTCCTGCTTCCATATCACTCAACTTTGGAACTGCCTGCCCCATGTTGCTCTGGTTTGTGCAGTGATAAAGACCTGTGGTGGCAGTCTTTACTTTGGGGAGGGGGCTGTTCACTGTGTGGAATGGATTGAAAATAAATTGGGTTCTGCCAATATGAAGGGAATAACACGTTTTTTTGGCACCAACTTTATGTGCCTCAGAAGAGACAGCAGGATGGCAGAAAACTTATCTCAGTCTAGTTTGGCCTCGTTTACATTGCTGCCCAAGGCTTGCTAGAAAAGACTGAAGAGCTTTGTGTGCCTAATTCTGGGGCCTGGAAGTCAGGATTTCCTGTGAGCCAAGTTCATTCTTAGAAGGGCATAGTTGGTGTGAAAACCTCCAGTGCTTCTGGAAGCAACATAAATTAGGTTCCTTGAGGGCCAGCCAAGTGGCGCAGTTGGTTAAGAGCTCG